TGATAAATATATGGTACCATTTATTTTGTTACCAAATATACAAGAAACATCATATTTAATATATCCTACCAAAACCGTGCATGCTAGTCTACAGGAATGCATACATATGGGTACACTGGATATGAGGGAAGAATGCATATATGTGGGTACACTAGGCATGAGGGAGCTCACCAGGAAGCAGCCCGAGGCAGAGAAGCTCCAAGCGTCTCCGGTGATGGTGAGTGGCATGCCGGCATCAGAGGTGACAATGACACCAAGGACATTCCAATCTGGTACATGCACACCAAAAACATCGAATGCAGGAGGTGGAATATCCCCTAAGGTTGTCACTGCTGCAGGTAATTGACATCCACCGATTGCGGAGGATTTGGCGCCGGTAGCATTTGACCGGAGTTAAAAAAAGGCGCTGCCGATCTCCTTGATCGGTCCACGGTTGAAGGAGTTTCATGAGACGTTTCCTTCCTAGATGCTAGGTGAATCTCCTGGCGAAGTGACTTGATCAGGGATAGTGTGAGGTCGTTGGAACGTTGGCACGATACCATAGCTACGCTCTACACCGTGCTAGCGTCACATGATCAGGGATAGTGTGAGGTTGTTGGAACGTTGGCACGATACCATAGCTACGCTCTACACCGCGCTAGCGACGAGGTCATGTTCCTGGGACTTGGCAAGAAAAAAAAGAGAGGGTTAGTGCAGCTAGGCAGGATAGACGGCACTGGTAACGGTATGATTTATATCCCGCCTAGCCTACTCGAGCTCACCGAACACTGCCATTGTCTTCCTAGGCGGCTGGATGCCTGAAATAGTGTGAGTGTGAGAATGACATGAGTGGAAGGAGCAACGACAATTTTACAATAGTAATGTAGCGAAATCCACTTTTTAAAGGTATTTTAACGAAACCTGTTTTTGAGGACGACATAATATCAATCTCCTCGTCACCGAGCCACCCGCAGAAAACTCAAGAAGGGCAGCGGATCCTCGGCCACCACCACGTACTCTCTTCATAAAAAAAAACTTAGCCTTACAATAGAACAAATCTGGATAAAAAAAGACCCTTTCTAGTATAATGAATTTGAACAATGTCCAGTTTCATTGTATAAAAATATCACCTCTAAATAGGTTAAGTTTTTTCTTTTTTTTACGGAGAGAGTATTCCACGACTAGAGGTGGCCAAATGGGCCGGGCCAAACGGGCGGCCCGGGGCACGGCCGAACCTGTAGCAGGCACGGCCCGGCACGGCCTGCTACAGTAACGGGCCGTGCCGGCACGGCACGAGTAGCCGTGCCGTGCTTGGGCCGCTGGCCGAGCCCGCGGGCCGGCACGGCACGGCACGGCTACTGTAGCGGGCCGGCACGGCACGGCCCGCGGCACGGCACGGCACGGCACGCCGGCGGCCCGTCAGGCGCGGACAGGGCGGGCGGCGGTCGAATGGGAAGGCGCCACGTGGCACTAACGGCTATTTGACCGTTCAAATTTGAAAATAACCGTTGGGAGGCTAAAAAATTCATAAAAATTTCGAAAAAATTCCAAAAAATCTCAAATTTCGCCCTATAAATAGGGCATGAACCCCAGCCATTTCTCCTCATCCCACACTCCTCATCTTGTGCTCTCAAGTGTTTTAAGTGCTCTCTTTGTTCTCAAGTGTGCATTTTTTTTGATTTTGACAAAATTTGCTCAAATTTTGTCAAAAATCAAAATTAGTTTCGTAGTTCAACAGTTTGATCGCAGAGGTTTGAAGAGCTCGCAGTTGGAAAGATGTAAGTAATATTCAAATTTGTGTATTATTTGTATTGTGTTTGTGAATTCAATAAATATTCGAAAATTTGTTTATGTCGGTTTAAATTTTCAGAATGGATCCGAACTTTCCATACCAGTCGCCGTCGTTCACCTTGGGTGATTTCGACCCCAACTACATGTCGGGGTTTGACGGTACCTCCGGATCGGCTCCAACTCCACCATCTGTGGAGGAGGTACCGGTTCATACGGCTGTCGTTGAGGAGGTACCGGTTCAGGCGGAGACAGCTTCGGAAGGATTTTCCGGAACCGCGAGCGGAAGTGTTTCGACACACACCGGCTCGAAGAGATCGAGAACCTCCGGTGTGTGGCAAAGCTTCGACGAGATAAAGGAAACATGCCCCGACGGAAGGGAGGTATCGAAAGCCCGTTGTAGAATATGTAGGCAAATTTTATCTGCTCGTTCTTCTGGTGGTACAGGTCACCTCAAGCGCCATGCGGAGTCGTGTGCCAAGAAGCAAGGAATACAACTCCGGCAGCAGCAACTTATGGTAAACCCAGACGGTACGGTACACAGTTGGGAGTACGATCCCATGGTTGCTCGGGAATCTCTTGTCCGGTTAATCGCCAGGCAAGATTTACCCCTGAACTTTGGGGAGTCCCCTGCTTTTGAACATTACATTCAGCAATCTCATAACCCTAGGTTTAAAGCTGTGAGTAGGCAAACATCAACTAGAGATTTAGAGAATGTTTATCACAAGGAAGCAACTGCACTTAAGGAACTGTTTAGTACATGTACTTTCTCTGTTAGTGTTACTTCAGATATATGGAGTAGTAGAGCTAGAGAGGATTATCTTAGCGTAGTTGTTCATTTTGTTGATGATGATTGGCAATTACAAAAGAGAGTTTTAGGGCTTAGGTTAATAGATGTCTCACATACAGGAGAAAACATAGCTGAAAGAATTAGGGAAGTAATTAATGAATTTAATCTTGCTGATAAAATATTTGCTGTCACCCTAGATAATGCATCTGCTAATTCTAGGGCTATTGAAATATTGCAACCTTTATTTTGTGTGTATGCTCAATCTTTTCTACTCCATCAGCGTTGTGCATGTCATATAATTAATTTGATTGTTAAGACTGGCATGAAGAGGGTAGGTGACCACATCAATGCTGTTCGTCAAGCAATCGCGTGGTTAACTGCTTCTAACCCGCGGATTGCTGCATGGAAGAGGTTTTGCAATGCGGCCGGTGTGAAAGCTCGTAAGTTTGCCACCGATGCAGAGCATCGGTGGAATGCAACGTATTTAATGTTAAAAGTTGTTTTACCTTATAGTAGTTTACTTTTTGATTTTGTTCAGTCACGTGGTGGCCCAAGAAACAGTGACGGGTCTTCAGTACTGAACGAGCATGTTTGGGCAATTGTCCAAAAATTTTACCAATTTCTAGAAACTTTTTATGATTGTACTCTAACTTTGTCACAAGTTTATTATCCAACTGCTAATATAATTTTGCACAACCTTCTTGAAATTGCTACTTTATTTAAAGAATACGAAAATGATGACGTTCTAACTGAACCTGTCTTTCACATGAAACAAAAATATTTGAAATATTGGAAAAATATACCTATGTTGTATGCTCTTGCTTTTGTTTTAGATCCTAGGTGTAAATTAAGGGGATTGTCTGCTATTTTATCACTTGTTGGAGATACTATAGGTGTAGATTATAGTTCTTTTTATACTGAGGTTAGACGTAAATTATATGAGGTTTTTGGAAGATATGAAGTAAAGTTTCAGGAAGTTCGCCAGCAGAGACCCCCTCCTATCCCCACTACAGGTAAGAAGAAGATACAGTGGGGTAGGATTTGGGGTGGATCGTCTTCAAGTTCAATCCAAGGTGGTGGCAGTTCGTCGGCTACAAGTGGAGACGCCTCTTCGCATGTTGTGGCCGAAGAGTTGTCCGGTTATTTGGACAGCGACGCCATCCACCACGAAGCACAAGATTTCAACGTCCTCGGGTGGTGGAATGACCACAAGATAACATATCCTGTGCTTTCAAAACTAGCACGGGATGTGTTGACGGTGCCCGTGTCGACGGTGTCCTCCGAATCGGCCTTCAGTCTATGCGGCCGAATCATCGAAGACCGGAGGACGACTCTGCGCAGCGACCACGTCGAAATGCTACTAAGCGTTAAAGACTGGGAGCTTGCTCGACAACATGCCCAATACACTGCGGACAACCAAGAATTGGCCGCCCAGTTCGAGCAACTCTACCTGGATCCAGACCAACCCCAGTAGAATTTTGTTAGAAGTAGTTCTGACCTTTGAGCTGTACTCTTTTCTTTGTCATGGTTTTCTCATTTTCCCCTATGAGTTTTTACATGACAAAGTTTTTAACGAGGCAGCATGTATCATTGTATCCTGTAATGATATAAACATCAATAAAGGTCATTACTATTTTTAACAAATTCTTTTGCAATATTTTCGCAAGTGTGGATTTATCTTTAAATTATTTCAAAAATAATGAATCACAATCTATATTTTTAAATTTTTCAACACAACAAAAAAATACCATTTTTTCTTTTTTTTAACATTAGCAAATCATTACTTTTTTAAAAAACTTTTATTTCCATTTTTTAAATACCATTTTTTCATTTTTTAACATTAGTAAATCATTACTTTTTTTTTAAACATTTTATTTCCATTTTTAATTTTTTTTCCTTATACATTTCCTTTGCTTTTTTTTATAAAAAAAACACTGTGCACTGCAGGCTGGCGGGCTGGCGGCCTGCCTTCACGGGCCGCCGTGCCCCGAACGGCCCGTGGGCCGCGGGCGTGCCGTGCCGGCACGGGCACGGCCCGGCCATCCACGGGCCGTGCTTGGGCCGGCGGCTCGGCACGTGGGCCGGCACGGCACGGCCCGTTTCATCAGCCGTGCCTAACGGGCCGTGCCGAAACGGGCCGTGCCGGAACCGTGCCCGTGCCGGGCCGGGCCGTGCCGCCCGTTTGGACACCTATATCCACGACCCGTCCATCGCGCCGTGAGCCCAATAACTGCATCCAGCCGAGCCAGCCAACCACGCCATCAAACCCCCCACCCCAATCGCCGAGCAGCGCGGGGAGCCGGGGAAAATTGAAGCACCAAAACAACCGAGACACACTCACACAAAAAGAAAAAAGAAAATAAAAAGAAAGAAAAAACCGGGGACCACGACCCCAAAAGCGCTGCCACCCACCACCGGCCGCGGCCACTCTTTCCCCTCCTCCGATCCGTCGCTTCGCCCGTTCGCCGGGGCCACGCGCGCGCACCGGAGGAGGAGGAGGCCGTGACTTGAGTGAGGTTTTCTCCTCTCTTTTTTTTACCGCGGCGAGTTGTTACTGTTTCACCGCGCCTCCCTCCCCTCCTCCCCCGCCTTTTCCATTTCGAGCTCGCCTCCCTCCCGTCCCCTCCGTGCTTGCTTCCTCCCCTCCCCCACCTCACCCACCTGCCCGTGGAGGCGGTGCGCGAGAGAGAGAGAGGGAGTTAGGGTTAGGGTTTTGGGTTGTCGAGTGGGTGGGTGGGGTGAGGGGAGTGGTCCATCCATGGACGGGGGGACGGGGCCGGGGGCGGAGCTGCTCTCGCCGGGGGAAGCCGAGTGGCCGCCCGAGCTCCGCCTCCCGCCTCCGCCGCCGCCGCATCCTCCTCCTCCTCCCCCGCTCGAGCCGGCTCCGCCATCCACTCCCCAGCTCCGCGGCGAGGCGTCCCCGCCCCCGCCTCCGCCTCCGCCCGTGGGACCACCCGGCGCGGCGGTGGTGGCCGCCGCCGCGAGGAAGGAGGCGTCCGCGTCCGCCGAGGGGTTTGATGACTCGCACTTCCTCGGATCGATCATGGGGGCGCCCGCGCACCAGCACCAGCACCAGCACCAGCAGCCGCCTGCCGTGGGGCCGCCGGTGGTGGTGAAGAGGAAGAGAGGGAGGCCGCCGAAGAACAGGGATGGAGCGGCGCCGCCTCCGCCGCCCAAGCCGGTGAAGAAGAGGGAGGACGACGAGGACGTGGTGTGCTTCATCTGCTTCGACGGGGGCAATCTCGTGGTCTGCGATAAAAAGTGCGTGTGCGCGGTTGGCGCTTGCATTTCTGCTTATAGTACCGTAGCTTCAATTTCGTCTGCTCGTAAAAAGCTGAACCAAATGTCTTCCATTTTGGGGCTGTAGGGGTTGCACAAAAGTCTATCATCCTGCTTGCATCAAGCGCGACGAATCATTCTTTCGATCTCGGGCGAAATGGACATGTGGTAAGCTCTCCTGTTGGACTTCTGCTTCTTTGTACTTAACATCTAGTGATTACTGCTGTGCACACCGAGGGCGCGTTCTAAAATGCGTTTTGAAACTGATGATTAACCGCACGCAAAATGACAAATGTGATTAGCATATGATTAATTGAGTACTGTTAATTATTAATAACTAGAAAAATGGGTTTATTTGATTTTTTAAAGCAACTTCTGTATAGAATCTTTACGCATGAAACACACCGTTTAACAGTTTGAAAAGCATACTAACGGAAATCGAGGAATTAATAAAACCGAAATGGAGTTTAGAATGTGCCGAGTAGGACTAGGATTAGTGTCATATCTTATTTGACGTACAATTATAGTTGACGTAATGGTGGCCATAACTGCTGTTAAAAAAGGCATCTTTTGTGGATACTAGATATATAAGTGCATTTGGTATGATTGCCTTCCCTTCTTTGCAATGCTATGAATTTTATGTACTTGAATTTAATGAGCAGATTAGGTCATTCTTTTTGCCATTTTACCATCTGGAAAGTACATCCGTGGTAAAATTTATTGGGTATTTGCATGTCCTGACTGGTCCGCTAACAAACCAATAGTTCAATACGACTTATCCTGTTCTTGATGTCATGTTTTTCAGGTTGGCACCTATGCAGCACCTGTGAAAAGGCAGTACAGTACATGTGCTATACTTGTACATACTCCCTCTGCAAAGGTTGCATCAAACAAAAGCCAGTCAAATTCTTTGGTGTCAGAGGGAATAAGGGCTTCTGTGATACCTGCTATAGCACTATACTGTTGATAGAATCCAAAGATGATCGTGCCAAGGTAACCTGCTGCTAATCCTTATATTCCCTCTGTGTTTCTTGAATTATATGACCATCTATATGCAAATATGTCTATAGAGTTGTGCAAATATCCATTTTCTCAGTCCTTTGGACAGCATAATGCTCATTTTTAACATTTGGTTCAACTAGGCACCTTCTTTTCAAGTTCATTTGATATTGAAAATCATGATTAATTAAGGTCATAGATATTTCTCTGAGTAGTTTGAGAAGTAATAACTGCAGAACCCAAAGTCATGGAATACATGAAATTTGCTATATCTCTATTTTGTTGATCCAATATATTGGCACAATGTTTTGTGAGTTGCAGGCTTGTAACTATCAGCTTTTGTAATGTAAAGTTGGTGGCTTTTGCTGGGTCAATTTATCCATTCCGTTGTCTATTGCCTTTAGGTTGTTGCGATGTGTGGCTTTGATTTGGTTTATGTTGCAGTGCAGAACTGTACTTTTAGCTCAAGTGCATCTGTAACTAGGAAATATTGGCGTAATCTTCATGACTTCATGTAATCTTACCAACATAGTTCTATCCTCACACATCTTGTATGAACTAGGCAACCTAAAACAAGTAGCAATACACTTTTACCTTGAAGTTCTAAATGATTTTAGGCTTATATTTACTTGGTAAAAATAAATAAAGAGGACTTGCTGAAACAAACATACAAGCTAAACTTCTCTTCTACTTTAGTTGCACAAATATTAGAAATCTCCATTTTGTTGATAAGATACTCAGACATTTTGTATGACTTGCTATTGATATGTGCCTTCTAGGCTAAGGTGGACTTCGATGATAAAAATAATTGGGAATATCTCTTCAAGTTGTATTGGTTGGATCTTAAAGGGAAACACTCTCTAACATTGGAAGAACTTGTCAATGCCAAAAGCTGTTGGACTGTTCGTAGCACTTCCGCTAGGAGAGAAAAGGAAGATTCATCCAATGACCTCTATGATGCAAATTTTGACCTTGATGCCAGTTCTGATGGCGCCTCAAGAAAACGAAGACGGAATAGTTTTTCAGGGAAAAGGGGACGGAAACGCCAAAACAATGGTGCTGAAAGCTTACCTAAGAGAGTGCAAAATGAAGGAATGACTTTTATAGGTGACACACAATGGGCATCATCAGAGCTCTTGGAATTCATTGGGCACATGAGAAATGGTGATATTTCTTATATTTCCCAATTTGATGTTCAGATTCTTCTGCTTGAGTATGTAAAGCAAAAAAATCTTCGTGATCCTCGCAGAAAAAGTCAAATTATTTGTGATGCGAGGCTTGCCAATTTGTTTAGGAAACCACATGTTGGCCACTTTGAGATGTTAAAGCTTTTGGAAATGCATTTTCATGCGAAGGAGACGGTAAATGGTGATGGCCAAAAAGGCATTGACTCAGATTCAGCTCAAATAGACAGTGGAGGATATAGTGATATGCCAAGTAAATTATGCTCTGATAAGAGGAGGAAGATTCATAAGAAGATTGAGAGAGAATCACCAGCTAATCTAGAGGATTATGCAGCGATTGACATGCACAATATCAATTTGATTTACTTGCGCCGCAGCTTGCTAGAGGATCTTATTGATGATAATGGCACGTTCTCTGACAAAATTACTGGTGCTTTCGTGAGGATAAGGACTCCTTGTGTTGGCCAAAAGCAAGATATTTACCGCCTGGTGAAAGTTCTTGGTGAGATTTTTTTTACTATACTGACGGGAGCTACTAATTTCCATGAAACCAGAGTTTGAAGTTCTTGGTGTTTGATTTTGTCTACAGGTACACATAAAGTAGCAGAACGGTACAGCGTCGGTAAGAAGACAACTGATCATGCGCTTGAGATATTAAATTTAGATAAAAAGGAGGTTATCACGATGGATACAATCTCAAATCAAGATTTCACAGAGGTAAATAATTCATATGTTTGGCACCTTCTGTATGCTACTCCCTCCATCCGAAAGTGTTTAGCATATTTCATTTCTTGGTTTTTCCAAATGAGATGGTCATATTTGTAGTCTTCATGTGCTAAATTAAATTGTTGACCGGAACCCAAGTAGACATCTTAATACTATTTGTTGCATGCATGCATATAGTTCCTTGGTTTTGTCACATGGGGGATGGGTTTATTCCTCCTTGGTCTTGGTGATAAAAAGAAATATGTCTTGCACTTTTGGATGGAGGGAGTAATTAAGACAGTATACTTTCAACCACAAATTAATACCGAGACAAATATACAATATGATCTTATGCATAGCTTTCACTCAATTGTCAATAGTTTTAAACTTTTAGGTTATGAATATGTGAATTAAATATTCACTTAGCTGGCTCAAGCATCACAAATGACTAGAGTTTGGTGTTGATTGTCAGTAGTAACTTTATTAAATTTGTTAAACATAGATGTGCAAAATCTGAATGTTATAAACACTTTGTAGTCATTGCCCGTGTCGTGTGGATATACATTGCTTTGCTTGGATCTAAAGTATACCAACAACATGCTGAATATCATTGAAGCACATATGGATATCGTGCAACCATGGCTTGGCTGGCTGTGGGTATTCATTTGCCGTGTGACTGTGTGAGGTGTCTGGTTTAGTTCCCATCATAATGTTCAAAGCAGAGTTAATTTTTACTGAACTTCTAGAACGGTTCAACTTATCTGTGGGAGGGTGATTTGGAGGAGGTGGTGATGGAAGACAGACCATCACTCAGAACTTTTGTTATATGAAGTTGTAAAGACAGGCAACTTGATCATATTCTTTACAATATAGTGCATTAGTGCTATTGCTCGGCCACTTAATATTTTTTTGACCTGGACTCGACCCCTCAATGTTTATTCTCGTTTACTGGACTTATGATGCAATATCGTGTTTTCGTTACCTGATAATTCAGAATCATCGAGATTTATGTCTAGTTTTTTTTTAAAAAAATATTTTACTAACCTCTAAAGTAATAAAGTGCAAATTTGCTGCGGTTCATTGTTCTATGGTACTACAATTCTTCCATTTATATGATCTGTCTGCATGTATTTCTGTAGGAGGAATGCAAACGCTTACGCCAGAGCATGAAGTGTGGTTTGATTACCCGACTAAAAGTGGTACTGTTGATCAAGATTCATTATACGGTGATTGATCTCATCACTACGTTCAAGTTACATAGATCTGACATATCTCCTTTGTCTTGATTCAGGGAGACATCCATGAGAAAGCCAAAATATTCCAACTGCTGCGAGTTAATGATGTACGTACTGTATTACTTGAGAAAAGCTCGCTAAGTGCTGACTTGCTTTATTTCAGAATATTGCTTTCGTAACTTATTTTCTATTTTTCTTTGTTAAATCCACCTACAGTGGTTAGAAAATGAAAAGCAGAGACTGAGCCATCTACGTGATCGTGCTAGTGAAACTGGGCGCAGAAAACAATATCCTTTTAACTTAGTATGTCGCGTCGCTGTTCCATTATTTATTTCTGCCATATGTTTTACAAATATTGTAGTTTGGTTCTCCAATGTTAGATCAAAGATTTGCATGCCTATGGTCATCATAGATTAATCTATGAAGCGTTCAATTCATACCATCATTGCGAAATTATTATTTGCATGAGGATACATTTCTTCATGCATACTTTACTAATGGAGTATGTGTGAGTAAAGATAGTGCAATTGCATGGCCTAAAACTATACATTTCTCTATTCAAGTTTAAGCAAAACCCTGTTGAGGAACATGTTTCATGGGTTTGCTAAGGTACCTTGATTTTGACTAAACTTTTGTAACATTTTTTTGTTTTGACTTTACTGCAATTTCATCGGTCTTGCACAATCATAATAGCCAAGTTAACTACAATTATTATGCATAGCTAGCAATCTTTTGTCATCCTCCTTAAATGCTGTGAAATTAACTCTCTGCTAGAAAAAAGATTTGGCATTTTAGAACTTAGAAGTTGGAAGGCAGCTTTCATGAGCTATCATCCATTGGTTTCCAGATGATGTGTCCATGCTGAGTTGCTGACATAAATCCAACTCTTTATGTTCTGGCTTTCTTTTCTCTTTAATTTATTTTCTCTGGAGAAATATTGTGATCAGTGGCCGTTCTTTGTTTCAAGTAAAACTTCTTCCATAACATTTAAAGTCTTAAGTGTATGGTTTTCTGTTCAAATAGTGATTGGCATCAAGTCATCACGATTCACCTGCTGTCATTTGTTGATCATTTTATGATCCTTGACTATACCCTACGCTTAGGGAGTGTGTAGAGAAGTTGCAACTTCTGGGCACTCCTGAAGAAAGAGCACGCATCATTAATGAAGATCCAGAAGTACATGTTGACCCATGTATGTCTCCTGATTATGAATCTGCTGAAGAATTGGATGTTAAGAAAGCTGGTATTTCATGTCTCTGAACTCTCTCTAACTCCCTATTCTGCTATTGTATACTGATGTGCTCTGCTTATAAACGTTGATCTTTTTGCAACTTTCTTGTTGACTTTGTACGCAGTTGATTCGACAAGTAGGAATGGATCAGACCTGTTATTTCTTGGAAGAAAAGGAATCGAAACAAACTCTCTGCAGAATCATAGACAAAATTGTTCTGCCACTAGTCATCACACGACTACAAGTCCACCTACTGAGGGTATGACTCATGGACAAGGAGAAGAAGGTAACATTAATTTGCTTTTAAGAAATGGATGCGATATTCTTGAACCTAGCATTGATTTGAACAATATTGCATGTGAAACAGCATCGTTTGCATCGTCAGAAATTGTATCAGGTGACATGGAACCAGAAAAAGTATGGCACTACAAGGATCCTTCAGGAAGTGTTCAGGGCCCATTCACACTTTTACAGCTGTCCAAGTGGGCAGCTTATTTCCCACGTGACCTGAGAATATGGCTAACATTTGAGAGTGAACAAAACTCACTGCTTTTGACTGAAGTTCTCTCGAAACAACAAAAAGATTTCATTCAGCCTTCTCCCAAAGTTGACAATAATAGGTCAACATGGGAAGGCGTTGGGCAAGATAGAGTTGACTCAAGTTTGACTGGAAATAACTCTTCCTCTCCTATTGGTTATAATGTGATCTACTCTTCTCGGTTGCCTAGCCCATCTGCTGACTATTGTGCATCAGCTAGAGAAGGCCCAAACCTTCCGAGTGGAACCTTGCCATTCATGACAAGCCAGAAAACACAAAAGGATCCTCAGATGTTGCATGGCCAGGCACAGCATCAGGGTGATTATTCATGTACCATCCCGTCATCTGTGGTTTCATATAGACCAGCTGGTTCTCATGATGAGTGGCCCCCTCGAGGCAACATTGGTGAATGGAACAATAGTCAGGATAGTGGTGGTATGTGGAGCCCAACCACACCTCACATGAGTCGGAGCAATTTGGAGCATCAGCCTGACAGGTGTATTACGAAGAAGCAATTGCAGAATGATTCCAAACGTAATACGCTAGCAGGATCTGCAGAAAATCTAAATTCCCAAATGGATTTTGGTTCACAGAAAGTACACATTCCTACTCCACAACAACCTGAGAGAGATCTTGCCACTTCTGTTGGTACTTCAAGGCAATTTGAGTTTAAAACTTGTCATCAGGAAGGCTCTCACTGGAGTTCAACAGCAGACTCCATTACTCATGATGGGCTTCAATTATCTCTTGCTTCAGCAAAGCCTGAGAGCTGCTCTGCAGTAAATCCTATTAGAGATGGAGATTCCAGTTCAGCTTCTCGTGTGCCTAATCAATCAGGAGCTCATGTCTATAGCCCACCACACCCAGCTACAACTAATTTAAGCAAGAGTGAGGAGACTATGAATCAGTGTAAATCGTGTGAGCCTGAAGCATCAAATAAATCACGCAAGCCTGATGCATCACATGCTCCAGTTAATCAACATCCTAAGCCTGAAAGTGATCCATTGTTACCTGATACTCAAGATTTTGAGCGCACGCATCCTAGCCCAAGTACTGAACATGACACAAAGGAGCCATTGAAGGATCAATCGAGGTCAACATCAGTAGCACCTGAAGGGTCGGGTACAATGGCACATGGACAGTCTTCCATAGCTTTTATATCAGAAGCATCTGGCCCACTTTCTAGTAAAATTGTTGGCTTGCAACCACCCAAGGATACATCATTTCTTGTCGAAAAAGATATAAAAGATGGAGGTTCCATTACACAAACAGAGCAACAAAAAGAAGAGAGTACAGCATTTAAGAAAGAGAACGTAGCTGTTGATCCTATCTCTGACAGTGAAGCAATAGTATCTGGTGTGTTGGAATCTTTGACAGAGACATATAATCTGCATGAAGAAACCGCTTTGGAAAATTTCACGCCAACATCTGCCGAGGAAGAACAACCGCAATGCTCTACCCCTATTGCATTATCTCCTTGGGATGAAACAAGTGACTATCAAGGTGAAGCTGTTGATTCTGCTCTATGGGGTGTCCAAGATGACCAAAACAATGAAATGTGGTCATTGTCTTCACCAACACCTACTCTCCAACCTTCAGGTTAATGGAAATACCTTTTTTTAATCACTTTATTTGTTTGCTTGATAATATTTAATCTTGAGATATTCTACAGGTATTGGAGCTGATACCAAAGGTGCTTCCTGTGCTATAGAAGAGGTGATAGTAGCCCAAGGAAATAGTGGTGTTGTTGAACCGTCACCAGCACTGGAGAAGAAAAGGATTGAAAAAGTACCAAGTGCTTCCATAGATCGTGGAGTACCAGAGCAGGTAATGCTAACTTAAATATTTAAATACTAGGCAAAATTCATCAGCATTATGCAAAGAGAATCCTAGCAACATGATGTACCCAAGTTTTAACAGCAGTTTTATTTTGACTTGTTTAGGTAAAACCAAAATCAGATGCTGCATTATCTCCAGAAGAGAGCAGAAAACCTTCAGGTTTGCAACTATCAAGCACATATCTACAAGGGAGCACAAAATCTTCAGGTTTGCCACCGTCAGGCACATCTCTAGATGGGGGCATAGAACCTTCAGGTTTGCTACCTTCAGGAACTTCTTTGGAGTGGGGTACAAAAATTTCAGGTGTGCAATCCTCGGCCTCATCTCTAGAGGGGAGCAAAAAGGCTTTTGTTAGGCAACCATCAGGCTCTTCACTAGAGGGAAACACAAAAGCGTCAGGTAGGCAGCCGTCAGGTTCATCTATAGAGGGGAGTAAGAAACCTTCTGATAGGCAGCCATCAGGTGCATCTCAAGAGGGGAATACAAAGCCTTCAGGCTGGCAACAATCTGTGTCGTCTCTTGAAGGTGGCACGAAACCTTCAGGCTGGAAACCTTCAATTTCTATAGACACGAATACAAAAGCTTCAGGTTGGCTGCGATCGAGCTCATCTCCTGATGTGGGCAGAAAAGCTTCAGCATGGCAATCATCAGGTTCTTCGCCTGTTGCAGGGAGCTCAAAAGCATCAGGTTGGCAGCCATCACCTCGCGAGAGCTCGAAATCTAAGCCTAATTCCACATGGGGTGCCGGCCAAAGCCGCAACTCGTCTTCGCACCAATCAACAACACCAACAGCTAAATACTCATCAGAAACCCCAAGGAGACAAGGAAACAACAACACAAATTCTGCTGGCTGGGGAGACTCTCTCGGAAACAAGAGCTGGCATTCACCCTCAGGCAATGCGAGCAGCCGAGGCAGCCATTCTAGCCACCACCATGACCGGCACAATCAGAGCAGCGAACCATGGCGTGGTGGCTCAAATCATTCCAGGAGATCAGATCATCGTCAAGAACATGGCAACGGTGGCTCGTCGAGATCATCGTCGTCGAGGGGGCAATCTCAAAGGGGGATCTGTAGATACTACGAGAATGGCTACTGCAGGAAGGGCACTTCCTGCCAGTTCCTCCACCGTTGAAAACGCCCTCACATTTTTGTACAGCCCTAAATGATTTCTCACTCACTCCGTAGTCAGCACAGAAGTGACCTTTATTTAACCTTCTCGGCACCACTCAGCTGTTAGTAAGTATATACATATCCATCAGCACAGGAGTATGATTAAGTTAGCATTTTATGCTTGGAAAAACAGCCACTGATGTACGGCCACGACTGTAGATCCTTCTCTTTAGGTGAATGATGCATTTTGATTGATCCTGTTAGGTTTAGTGGAATTATGAGTTCACCCGCTTTAAATCTCCCTTGATCGCGTATGCAAGAAGCAAAATTTTGATATGTTTGCACTGTGTTGTCTCGTCTCCAGAATTTGTAATTCAGGCAGCTTGTTTACCTGGGTTACTAGAAATCGGAAGCTGCCGGGCTAGCAGAGGATACCGCAGGTATTGCCCTCGCCGACGGCTCGCCGGAGCAATCCTGGCGTCGCCGACATGGGCAGCTCCAGGAACGAAACGATTGTGTTACTGTGGGTTGGAACTAATCCTCCACGCAATGCAACGTAAAGCGAAATAATGGATTGGTATATAATTAATTATATGTTAGTAAAAAAGCTTTTGTTTTAAAAAACATACTTCCTCCGTTCCGTTTTATATTTTATATTGTAAATCGTTTCTTTCTTTCTGCTCAAATTTCTTTAAGTTTAACTAAACTAGGTTTATATATATATATAAAAATACAGTAGTGCTTTCAACCCAAACAAACATATTATTAAAATATATTTAATTTTAGATTTAATGAAACTTATTTAACATTTTAGATGTTGAAATAAAAAACAGTTAGATTAAAAGAAAAAAAGAAAGTCAAACTGGCTTTTGGAAAAGCAGCCGTGGGTTTTGGCTTTTGCAAAAGTAGCTTTGGAAAAGCAGCTACGAGGAAGTCAAAAACCTGTTTGGTTGATCAGATGTGACTTTTGGAAAAACTTCTCACTTACGACTGGACCCTGCCTATCAGCCTCACTGCATTCATCCTCCTCCTCACACGGTTCGCGTGGGGGCTCGTTGTCGGGGTGCGCCGGCCTAGGCTCGTCGGCCAGCCATGAAGGCAGCGTGGGACGAGGGAACAGGCGGCGACGGGGAAGAGCAGACGCGCGTGGTTTGGAGGAGGCCGGCGACGGGAGTCAGGGGATGCGGTAGGGGAGGAGCTTGCCACCTCGCCGCAGGTCGCCGCCTCGCCGGGAGGAGAAGGGGTGGCGTCGGGCGGGGTCGGCATAGGATGAGGAGGAGAAGGTGCGGCGTCGGGCGGGGAGGAGCAGGGGCGGCGCCGGCCATAGATGCGCCTCTCCACCCCCACTGCTGCACGCTAGCGGTGCGGGAAGACGCAAGAGGAGTTTATCGAATCGTTTTTTTATAATGGTAGAGGTGGGAAATTTTTTCTCTCAAAAGCCAGTGAAAACAGGGGTAGAGGCTGCTTTTGGATTTGTACTACACTAAAAGCAGCTTTGGAGAAAAACACTTACTTCCTCCGTCCCAAAATGTAAGCATTTTTGAGGTTGGCACGGGTATTAAGAAAGTAGGTGAGAATGATTGAAGAAAGTATGTGATTGGTTGAAAAGAGAAAGTAGGTGAAAAAGAATGATTGTGATTGGTTGAGAGGAGAAGGTAAGTAGAAAAATAGTTTCATTTTGGGAAAAAATACTGTGCTAGAAATAACTACATTTTGGGACGAAGGTAGTATGATTTTTGGGTCATTTGGTTTGTTTTTGACTTTTGCAAAAGTAAAAGTAGGTTGAAAAACCCAACCAAACACGGACTGGGATTTGGTGACATTCTCCCATGACATTCTCGGTGACATTGAGTCACTGACATGTGACCTCACATGTCAGTGACTCAATGTCACCGAGAATATCACGGGGGAATATCACCGAATCCCAATCCACCAAACACACCTGAGTTACGTGAAACGGAGAAACGGAGGGAGTACAATTTACAATTGAGGAAAGGAGAGAAAAGAACGCAATCCTACCGTTGAATGGGCCGCACGGATGTTAGCCTGGCTGATTTTGTTGGCCGTAGTACAGCCCATGTTCTGGAGAAGCTGTAAAATGGGGTTTCGCCGCCGCCACGGCGGCCGGAAATCGCCCATGAGTAAATCGCCATGAGCTCTCCAGACCGGCGCCGGCGAGCGCCATCCTCTCCTCCGTCTGATTCGTCCCGACTCGATGGCACCGCTCCAATTTCCTCACCGCCGACGAGGTCAGTGCACCGAGTCTCCTCCCTTGCTCATGACCTCACACGGAAATAACGAAGCAGATGTTCATTCATTCATCTGTCGATTCCTTGCAAATCTGAGCGATTTGTAGTTGTGATTTGTGAATCAGAGTGATTACCTAGCTAATAGCTATTAAAGAGTTATAAACAGTATTTTTAAGAGTAAAATGCAGTACTATATATTGCAGGCACTTTTGATTCAAGAAAGCAGTTAGCTTTATTTACTGCAACCTGTCTGTCACTAAATTCAGCTGTTTGTTCCACAAGCTATCAGATATACACTTCTTTGCAAAGCACAGATCTGGCTTTTCCAGTCGTAAAACATATATATAATTTTCTGCAGCTCAATTACAGTGGTTACTTTGACTTCGGTGTGCCGCACTTTGGTGTGCTGGGATAGAAGACAGGATAGTAGGTGTTCAGCTCAAGCTGGTCCAGGATTTGATTGACAAGTGTCAAGTAGGAAGAATGTCCAACGATGAGCTCACTGGCATCAACCTGTGAGTTCAGAAATATTATCGAGTTTTTAGCTGTATAGAGGAAATTTTTTGGCCCAGTTGAATGCCGCAACACACTTACATTTTCAACTCCAGGTACATTAACTGCTTGGATGCCGGCCAAGCCTTGTGAAAGCAGGCTACATGAGAGATCATTTTCATGGAAAAAATGATGACTCCACATCCACAATCTGTGATAGTGATTCTGAAATATGAGTCAGATTTACCTTGCTCGAAAAGTGATACCGAGAATCCAATCATTTGTGGAGTAAACATTCACAAATCGTCCAGCAACCATCTGCGGAAATGCATGGCCATCCATACTAGTGAGAAGATGACATGGAGCAAGGTAAGATTTGCTAAAATTATAGGTGGTTTCTTCGAGCAATTAGCACTCATTTCATTTGTGACTTTACTTTCAGTACAGTAGTGTAAAATTCACATAAGAGTTAGTAATGTGCTCAAGGCTATAGTTTCAAGCAGTTGGAATCTATAGAACTACCATACCTTCCTGGTAGACTCCCACAGCTCCTCCTTATCTGAAACTGGTGCACCTATCATCACAGCTCTTTCAACGAGTCCCTCTATTCACAATGAAAGGTCAGCCAAACAAGCTATAAATAAAGTTTCATATATGCACATAGTTAAGAGGTACCATTATTTCCCAACAAAGCTAGTTCCTCCAAACACTTGAAGACAACACGTGCCCCTAGGGAAAACCCGATGAGAGTGACAGGCCTAGAAATCCCAGTAAAAAATTAGTTCCATTGAGAAATGAAGTCTACTGGATTGTACATTCTAGGCAGAGAATTACCTGCTTCCTTGCAATCCTCTGAGCAGCACTTCAGCAAGCATTTTCCCAGTCTTATCTGCCCTGGAAACATCTACTCAATTAATTTCTTGTGCGCTCATGTAATTTTGGAAAGGATAAAAAAAGATTAATGCATACATTACAGCTTTAAGTTTGTTGCATTTTTTCGTTTTTATCATTGCTCATTAGTTTCTTTTTCGCGAACGCATTGCTCATTAGTTTCAAGATAATTGTATTCTCTGTTCTGTTTTCAGCTTTTGTACAACTAATGAAAAAAAAGAGACCAGTTTTGTACAGAAAAGGGAAAAATGCATCAGCATTAGTTTATGTAATGAGAGTTCATTATGTCACCTGTCAATAGCAATGGACCATTTACTATCGATAAAATCTGCAGCAGATACCAAGTAAGCCGGCCATGCAAACGCAGAAACAATACCACTTAACACAGTTTGCATTGCACCTTCCCTCATCAACTCAATTGCAAATCCTACATCATTAACCAACAACCGGACAATTTTATGTTGAGTAATCAGTAAAGTATGAAAGAAAGAAATAAACGCAAACACTGTACACGTCGAACGCCAAAATTACTTGATGCCAGCCAATCGCGTATTGCTGTACTGACGCCAATTATATGCTTAGACTCCCATTGCAGAATGTACCTGCCAATTACAAGTTTCTTGTACTTAAGCAAGGCAAACATGTTCTAGAAAATGCAACGATATTGATAGGGACAACAGCTGCATGAATCTTACCTGTATTCATCTCATGTGAATATTTTGGTTTCTAAACAGAATGCAATAGGACTATCATGGCTATGTTAATACCAAAGTACTTGCAAACTACAAAGAGAACTTTTTTTTTGAAAAAGTATTTCGTGTGAATGTCTTTTGGGGGGTTGTACCTCTCTAAGTTTGTCTTCCATCCTTCCCATGGCTTCATATAATCTTCCTCGGTAAAGGCAAATCCAGTGACCAAGATGGCAACTGCTAGCCGCTGAAATGTCAATCCTATTAAGTGTCATCCACTCGAAAAAGTTTTATCGAAGACTAGGGATAACATCTTTGCTTTATGCTCTCTGAACCTTTCCAACATCGAATCAAAATAACACAAGAGAACAAAAACTCACACCCTGGTTATGGTTCTCGCCGATAGTGTTGAACTCAAATTCTCTCACACAACCAATTCTTTTGGCCATTTTGGTCCCAGTCAACCCAGCTCCAGCAGCTGATTTTCAAGTTAAGATGCTGGTTAGTTACAGATCCTGATAAAAGATTCCTGCTGGGTTCAGAAATAAACACCTCCAAATAAGGAATAGTATCACCAAATTAATATTCAAAAACCATCTACGCTCACCTCCGAATGATGCAGCAACCGCTACAGAGCCTGCAGTATGTCCAGCAGCAGTAGCTATAGCAGCAAACCCACTAGCTCCTATTAAAGGGATAAGTGTGTGCAATGTTGGAACCAGAGCAGTGAATCCTGCAGCAATTGCTGGAGCAGCTAAACCTGAAAGTTCAGACGAAATTATTCAGTTACAGAACTTATCTTGATCTGACATTTCATAAGTTCATCCAAATTTCTTTCAGGTCATATACCCCCGGAGATGGCCATCAGCGTTCCTCCCGTCAAGGCGGCTGCGCCGATGATTCCTCCACGCTTCCAGTTCTCCCATCTGCTTCTTGGTGACTCGCTTCCTTCTGACTGTTCTTCCTCTCTCGCTGCAGCCATAGCAGAGCAAGCAACCATTATCTCGATAGCTTCCTACAATGCCAAAACGTTCGATTACAAAAACATATAGTTTGTGTCCATGACAAAACTGGTAGAGAGATCACTGTTCTTAGCGTGTGCATTTACATGTACAACTAGGCTTTCTTTCTATCCTAATTTCACATGGACGAGAATGCTGTGCTGTTATCCAAAAAAAAAAGAGAATGCTGTGCTAAATGTACCCTGTCATGTGTTCTAGACTTCTAGCATTTTCATGAAAAAACTAATCTAGTGATCACAGATAATGAGACTACTGGACACTATGGTCATAAAACATTTGATGCTTAGGACAAGTTAGTCAAACTTCTTTTGAAACTTTGACCATGAATAATTCCTCGAAATTCCTAGTTAAAAAATGGTGTAAGCAAATTTCCCTTGAATAGTAATATCGTAACATTGAAACTTATTGTATTTTATAAACTCATTCTAACAAAAAAATTATATGGTCATAGTTTTACAAGTTTAGAATCTTGTCCTAAACATCAAATCAAATACTCCATCCGTCCTAAAATATAAATAATTTTGGCTGGTTGTGACACATTCTAGTAGTACGAATCTGGACATAGATGTGTCCTATCCTACTCCAATACCTTATATTTTGGGACGGATGGACTACCTATGATCAGAGGGAGTGTTAGTGATCTTATCTTGTAAGAAAAGCAATGGAATCTCTGGACAAATCTTACCATCTTGATCCACTTGACGTCGAGCCATGTCGCGAGCAGCCGGAGCGCGACGCGGTGGCGGGCGTCGTAGCCCCTCCTGATGCGAGGCGAGCCCATGCCTTCCTCCGCCATGTTCACGTCGGCGACGCACGCCGAGAGGAGCATGTACAGCACCGCCATCTTCCGGTAATCCTTGGTGCGGCTGCCGCCGGCCGACGACGCCGACGCCAGCCACGGCCACCCTTCGTCGCCGTCCCCCCCGGAGCCGGTGGCCTTGATCAGCTCGTCGGCCGCGACTACGTCGTTCTCCAGCCCCATCGCCATCGCCTCGACGGCCTTGGCGAGCGCGAGCTCCTGCTCCGACCTCTCCGCCGCCGCCGCCTCGCCGTCGTCCTCGTCCTCGAACACCTTCCGGAGAAACTGAGAAGGAAAAAAAAAGTATGTCACGATTGAATCGCCATGGAAATGGTTTTACATTGGAGATTGCATTGGGGCGCGTACGGCTCCGATGTGGTGCTTGGGCTCGGAGGTGGCGGCCGTCGTCTCCACGCCCGGCCATGCCTTGTGGTCGATCTCGAGAAACCTGAGAGAAATTCATCAATCAATGGCGATCCATCGATCGATTTGATGGGGTTTGGAGATGGATACCTGAGGACGGGGCGGAGGAGGCCGTGGGAGTCGTGGGTCCAGAGGTGGCGGGCGTCGACGGGGTCGGCGAGAGAGGGGACTGCGGCAGCGGCGGCCGGGGCGTCGTCGAGGCCGTGGGATCCGAGCAGGACGGACTGGTGGATCTGCGCCTGGCGGAGCGCGAGCGCCAGGAGCGCCCCCGCCGCGTACCGCTGCGTCTGGCTCAGCGTCGACGACGTCGCCATTGCCGCGATCGGATGGCTTGGCTGAGGCTCGCCGGTGGGCGTGGGCGCGGGCGCGAAGCCGATCGAGGAATCGGTGCCACTGGCTTAGCCGCGGCGCGCGCGCGGAGGCGAGGCGAGGGCGAGGCGCGTGCGCCGTGCGGGGCGTGTGGCGCGTGTGGCGCGGTGGGAATGGCTGCCTGGCTCGATCGGCGCCACCCCGTCGCGCGCGCGGCGCGGCATGTCGCTCGCGCATGGCGGGGCGCCTCGCGAGGTGCAAGTGGTGTTCGCGTCCTCGCGAGCGGATGGCCCAGAGACATTTGGATGGGCCTCAATCACGGCCCGTTTACGTGTAGCCATACACTTGGATGGGCCGAGATTGAGGCCTAGCTAACGAGGCCGTAATGTGAGATATTTGGAATAAGTTTACCTACCGTCTCTCAATTTTACATGAGTATGTAGGCCATCCCTATCCCAATATCAAAAATGTCTACCCTCAAATGGTCAAAGCCATGCAAATAGGTCTCATGGCAGTATATATGGGTGGCTAGTGGTTACAGCGAATGAGCATGTGTATATCCAAGGTAAAGGGCAAGAGACTCTGTCAATTCATCCAATGAGTAAGCAGGACAGTTAAGTTAGAAATCCTTTAAGTCCCTCTTGAATTTAAGTAAACTCCGAAGGACTCCCAGACTAGCTCCGCAGTACGAGCCCCATACGGAGCCGCGCCCTTGTGATATGATAAGAAGAAAAGGGGCCAGGCCGCCCTCTTTTCTTTTCCGCACCAAGCCTTCTCTTCTTGTAAAATCGGGTGTATAGCTCAGTTGGTAGAGCATTGGGCTTTTAACCTAATGGTCGCAGGTTCAAGTCCTGACGTGACATCCTAGTTAGCAAGGAGGGAATAAAAAAAATTTGTGGAAGCCCACATGACATACTTACTCCTCCCTCTACTCTATCCAACGTTTGCCTAGACCATGGTCTGGACCGTCTAGACCCCGTCTAGACGCAAGACCGTACATAGGTTTTTGTCTTGTTTAGGGCCTAAACACTATTTTCTTGTCTAGATGGTCAAAGACTGTCTAGTCCAAGTAATTAGACCATGCTGAGCCAAGTCTAGACCGAAACAATGATACCTAGACCATGGATGGACCCAAAACATTTGGTGGGTAGGAGTTCAAATTTTCTGGCCTACCAAGGCCAAGATGATTTAAATTTGAAGCTAATTGAAGATTCATTATTGCAAAACAAGGTAAACCTTAAATCTCATCTTTTCTTGCTCTCAAATGTTCTATTGAACTTTTGACTTGTTGAGTGAATTTACATATATAGCAACAAAATATGCTGGTAGCATAATATATGGTATACACTCTAGATTGAGAGTTACCGTCCATCTAGCATCTAGCGTCTAGGTGAACACTGACTCTATCTCCTCTCTCTCTCTCTCCCCCCCTCTCCAGTAGCGCAGGCGGGCGGTGTCGGGCAAAGCGACAGCGCACGAAACAGGCCAATGGGGCGGAGTTGATAATAATAATAATAATAATAATAATAATAATAATAATAATAATAATAATAATAATAAACACAAACCACACCACGTGCCAATAACATAAAAATCCACCGCAAAAAAGAAGCAAACACAGTAACGTAACATCGTATTCTGACTACACTTTGTCAATGCACTATCAAGTGTATCTTAAGATGGATCCGTTAAAACCACATACCTTTTGTCATTGCACTATCAAGTACATCTTAAGGTGGATCCGTTACGTAGGGCACTCACTGTACTCTTTTTTTTGAAGAAACACTCACTGCACTCTAGCATCAAATCAAATTAAAGTTCCAAACTATGATACAGTTCCATGCATGCATACCATGCCAAATCAAACTGGACACTTTGCGCATTCTTCTTCACATGCACATGAACACAACACAGCTATACGCTATTTGGCTGATAGCTGGTCTCTCACTCTGAAGAATATCAGAACACTACCACGAATTGTTCATGTCCTGGCTAGCTTTTTGCCGATGGCTTGGCGATCGCCATCAGGCTTATCATATCATGCTATGATACGTAGCTTCAATTTTCGCCCACCTTTCCGACGGTTTGACGCGGCCCGTGTGGATCGATCGCCAGCAGATCTCGCCGGCCGATCGGGCGCCGTCGTCACGCCTGAAAAAAAGGCGACGAGAAGATGGCAGAGAACGCATCGATCTCTGACGACTAAATCCCGAATATTTTCAAGCTCAAAAGCGACCTGTGTGATCCTGAATTCTTCCTGCGTTGCTCGCACGGTAGAATTATATTGTGCCGTGCAGCGACAGAGAAAACTTGAAAGAAAAATGATCGCAGGCGTTACATCAGTGCGTGTCACGTCGGGTTTGGTGCGATGCTGTTTGGTACAGTGGCGAATCTACGAAATTTTTATGAGTCGAGCCTAACAATAAATTATATAGTATACCCAATTTGGTATAGGTCAATAGATTATTTTGGGTTGAGTTGAGCATTTACTTTGTTGGTTTGTTTAATTAAGTATGTACACTATACCATTGCTTCTGCTAGTGACTAAATAATTAGGATGATTAACAATAGCAAAGTAATTAGAATTAATTTACTGAGGCATGGCTCTGCTTCTGCCGCTGGTTTGGTAGGGTCGATGATCAAACAGATCAACCGTATCGAAAACGTTGAGACGTTGCTACATACACACGATGAAAATCCGAGGCCCACGATCCATGAGAAAGTGACACTGCGAGAAAATCAATAATTTAATTAAGCCATGTTGCTGAATTTCTCTTAATTTTCTCAGGATTTTTCAGCGCCATCTGAAATTAGATGCAATTGATGATGAGGACAAGCGCACTTGAGCTGTAAAACTGACTTTTGATTCAAATCCGTACGCGTTAAATCCACGTCGTCGGAGAATGGCGAGAACGACAAAACACAACGCACCGAGGACGCCGACGCCGTCGCCGTCGCCGCCGCCGCCGCCGCCGCCTTTTACTGTCGATAATATCGTCTCGTCGGCGTGGAGGTGGAGCCGGGGCCGCGCGCTGGCCGGTGCAGGTGACGACCAAGCCTGCCGTCCATTTTGTGCTCATGCCTCACCTCACGCAGCCCAGCTAATATGGGTCTGTTTGGTTGCCTGTACCAGGCTTGGCTCGTACCAGACCATGCAGATTTGGTATGTTTGGTTTCCTGCACTGGCCCGTGATACAGGATGAGGCGATGCAAAGAGCCGAAGATTGCCTCCGAGCCGGGCCGAGCAGAAACGCAGGAATCGAGCTTCCCAACTTAGCCTGGCTTGACGGATGCAGTGGCGCTGCACCCACGCAATAGTGCATATTGCACCCGCGTGTGCAAGGGGGAGGGGGCTAGTCACCTCCCCCTCCTCATTTTGCCCGCGTAAAGCCACATGGATTGTATAACGGCAAATAACCCTGAATATTAATGTGTTATAAAGTAAAACAAAATCATCCTATTGATCATTTTAATTTTGATCTAACAAAGTTATGAGTTGTTTCATAGTCAGGTTTTTTTAACTGTTATATAATATATTTTATTATTTTGATGCGATACTAAGCTCATGATTAATGGTGTGGCTTAGAGTTCCTATACCTTCCGTGGGAAGGTTAGTACCACCTCACATTAGGGCGATAATTGTAATGTGTGAATTTTATCTCTGTAATTTGAAATCAAGATTTCCAAATCTTACGGTAAGATCGTGGTTACCACCGTTAGGTCGTGATAACTGTGCTGTGACCATGATCTTTGACTTGAAAAAAGAGAGAGAAGAAAACCACTATCATACATTGTGAACAATAGAAATACCATATATGATATCCACAACTATAATAATTAATTATAGTGTCCACAAGCATCAAACCTTTATTACGAAGCAAACTCTCCTTTTAGTCGTGCCAAAATATGGAGTTAGCTTTGCATTTTTTCACAAAATCAAATTTATCACTAGATATCATTATTACAAATGCTGTACTACTTCTAGGAAATTTTTAATTTTTCCCCCTTTTTCTCCAAAATCTAAATTCATACAAATTCTACCAAACATAATGCTGGTAACCTTACCATGCCCTAATGGTAAACACGGTTATCAGCGGTTTGAAAAATCATAGTATGTTTTTTTGAAACAATAGGAACGTAATATTCGGGGATATGAGCCATAATATTTATGAGCGTCACAATCACACCTGTTAGATGGTTGATATGGCTAAATTAGCTGCATGAGGCTATCTAGGTGTTCATCAAAGGTTGAGCTATTCATGTTTTGCTCTTGATGACGTTGGTCTTTTTGTTTTGTTCGGGTTGGTTTAATTCTTTGTCAGTAAGTTTCAAATGTGATCAAATTATTCATTACAATCAAATCTATAAAACATCTATAAAACAAGATTTGACATAAAATAGTTCATGTGGACCCACCCGATATATTCATGTGGACCCACGTATTATAGATATATGAGGACCCACATATCATAAAATGCAAGTAGTAAATCCTTAATTATCATATCTTAAAAGTGGTAAATAGTTAGGGAGTTAAATGCCCCTGGAAAAAAATGTTCTGTCCAACAAAAGTATTTTTTAAGATAAAAGAAGTTTTATTGATCGTACACAATTGCATAAAGATAACACAATTACTTTAAAATCACTCAAACCTAAGCATAATTAGAATGCATACAACCTATAACTATTTTTTTTAAAAAAGGACGACATGAGAATGAATGTCCGTCAAACTCAATCGGAGCAACACTTAATTGGGCTGTCCATCAAAATCTTTTGCACATATTTTTTCGATATGAAACTACAACCACAAGTGACGGTAGCTTCCTCATCTTTTTCTTATACTTACACTTAAATTTAAATTTTCAACATTAAATTTGTAGTTAATTTTAGTTTTTTTTTTATCAAAGTTTATTTTGCAGTATTTAATTTTAGATCGCTAAGAACATGTACATATCAAGAGTTTTATTCACAAATTATTTTTCGTTTATAAATATGCCGTTTAGCTTATTATTACCTGAATAAGCGAAATGTTGGGGCCGGCCATAGAGGTTCCCACATATTTTTCAGTCCGTCAAAATCTGAATTTAGGATGCCATGCGAAATCCGTATTCATTAATTAATTTTCATCAGTTGGTCCGCAGATTTATGGAGAGGGTTTGCATAGGCACATCGAAGACACTGAAGGACGTGGACACTGTTACGTCTACAGTATTATCGTGGACTCCTCACAGATAATAATGACCAGTAAGATCGTCAGTTACTCTCTTTTTTTTTAAGAAGAAAGTTCAGGATTGCCAGCTTAATTTATGTGACACTGTCAGTTAGTCACAAAGTGAAGTTATTGCTGACAAATTTTGGGCCAAACATTCAGTTAACCACCCTTGTTACTAAAGTTGCTGGAGAATTTAATGATGAGATGATCACTTCACCTTGCCTGAATAATACCAACGGGACAAAACATCCTTATCGTTATTAGTAGTTCTAACCCCACAAGTTGCTTCGATGGATCACCGGCCGCCTCATCACCAACTATATCCTGGAATCTTTGATGGCTATGTATACTTGGCTGAATTATATATGGCATTCTGAGCATTGCTTTTCGTCAGGATTGGATGATTGTTTCGACCCGTCTCTCTCCTTAATTTTTGCCCCGATCATGCTTTAATTCCATCATCTTTTTCATTTAGAGCAAGTTTAATAATATAGCCAACTACCAGATTCAAAAATTAACACGTCATCTATAGCTAACTTAATAGCCTACTGATACAATAGTTAATTATAAGTACATAATACACATTAATGCATTTCTCACATTTCTCTCACATGGTTTATTGGAGCTCGTGCTGCAGCTGGCTACAAATTTGTAGCCTGCTTTTTTCTCTCTCCTCCACATAAGCATAAATATAATGTGACATATATGATCCGCTTATATTATCTTATTATACTCGCTCTTATATGCAGCGTATAAGATTGTATCTTGACCATCTCATCAAGATAAAAGGAGACGGGGTGTACAGCTACGTATTATCACCACTACACGTCAAACTTTAATAGTGAGCAAATTATATTGGTGGTGCATTAACTTGCTCGGTGGATACAGGTTACGACGTGTTTAGTTTCAAATTTATTCTTCAAACTTCCAACTTTTCCATCACATCAAAACTTTCCTACACACAAACTTTCAACTTTTTCGTCACATCGTTCCAAGTTTAACCAAACTTTCAATTTTGGTATGGACTAAACACAGCCTTAGTGATGCGAAACATGGTCACCCATAATTGTAAATTAGCTCGGACGTTGCAAGTTATTACTATTATTGCACAATTGTAACCAACTTACAAATTTAGCTACTTTTAAATAAATAATACCAAGCTCAGACAAAAAAACTGACATTTGTGGAGTAGTGCCTTTTATCAACCTCCCTTTCCAGCAGAGATTTCTTGCTTGTTCCTTTTGCTTGAGATTCAGCAAAGGTTCGGCATTGGAGGGTGGCCACAAAGTGGACATGCCTTACCGCAGATAATTTGGAGAAAAGAGGGTGATTGTTTTTTTTTTAAAAAAATCATATTTATCACACTTTGATTTTCTTTCAAGGATTAAAAAAGTATCTGTAAATTAAACTTCTCAATCTTAATATAATTAGGTTAGCCTAATCCTTCGGCCGACCTAGAAAGAAGGTTCTGAATTAGCCAGCTTTCAAGTATTCGTCACTCCTTATTAAGCTAACAACCGGTCATTATGGTTGATAGCTTTGTCTTCCATTTTAAATTTGATGCACCAACAATATTATGTTCTCTCTTGACTGGAAGAAGAAATGCCGAAGACAACATGTTTTTTTTTGATTGTGACCAGATGGAGTAATCACTAGCAACCAACTCCATGCATGATGAATGTTAACTCTGAAGAGCTAAATGAAACTAGAGGGTCGGGTAGCTACCTCGATGCCTGAAGATTGTAATTAAGAAAGCTCCACTTCTGCTGTTCTGCAGGGTCGTTTTCTGATCTGGCCGACGTTGCTGAACAGTGAATTCGTTGAACGAATTCTGCTCCTGCTCCTGCGCCATCTAATTTTGAATTAATCTTACACAAGAAAAGGCCGTTTCACCAAACAAAAACAGATATATATATATATATATATATATATATATATGTTCGTCATCAGTACTGTTGGTTACAAGTAACCTAATTATGGCTATTATAAACTACTCATTAATGCAACTGTGTGACTAGACTACAGGTGTACTAAGGGCACCCGCAATGATTATCTATAGGCTCCCTATGTCAGCATATTTTCCTACTTGAAAGAGATTAAATGAAAAGAGAGAGTAAAACTATCTACTAACTTAGAGATAGTCTATAGAGAAAAATGAGTCAATTGATTAGAGAGCTATAGATACCTATGTAGACATACTATTGAGGTGTTTTACTATTAATTTAGTCTATTGCTGAGATGTACATATTTTATAGATAGCACCTTACTTTACCATTGCGGGTGCTCTAACTACTAATGCTGGTAGGATGCCTAAGAAAATTACTCTCTCCGTTTCTACATATTTAACGCCGTTGACCTTTTAAATATGTTTGACCGTTCATCTTATTAAAAAATTTAAGTAATTATTAATTATTTTCATATCATTTGATTTATTGTTAAATATAAGTATATACTCATATGTATACATATAGTTTTACATATTTCACAAAAAATTTTTAAATAAGACGAACGGTTAAACATGTGCTAAAAAGTTAATGGTGTTAAATATTTAGAAACGGAGGGAGTATAATATTACTACATTGAGAAAAGTTGTATAGGTGGTCTTTCTGTACAGCCGCTGGGGAAATATTTGGCCCTGTACGATCTCTCCCCATTCACATCTCAGGCCACTACATCACAACTCATGCGGTCCTAAATTTTTAGTAGAAATGTAAATTCACAACAAACATTCGGAGTTTGCCTTTTTTTTCCCGTTTTAATAACATATAGCAACCCGATAGTTTGAGAGGAGAGGAAAAAAAAAGATACACAAAACGAGGTATGTCATTAGCGCGTATGATTAGGTGAGTATTAACTATTTTAAATTTTAAAAATGAATTAATATTATTTTTGAAGCAACTTTTCCATAGAATTTTTTTTTAAAAAAACACACCATTTAATAGTTTGGTAAGCGTACGCGTGGAAAGCGAGGTGTTTTCTTTCTCAATTTTCATGACAAAGTTTTACAAGAAAATTCAGAGGCTGTGCTTATGTGGACAGGCACACCGGACACCAAATTTACAACTTTGATCTTATAGTCTATATATCACACTGTCACCCTTAATTATACCCTACTAATCCACTTATTGTTCTGGAGACATGGATTAAATTACAAAGGAGAAAAAAAAAAGAAAATTAAACCAGCAAAAAAAAAAAGGCCCAGAGGAAGCTAAGCTAGCCACACCAAGCTCCTCCAATGGCGCCACACGCGTCTGAACTTTTAACACCATCACCTGCAAACCATTCTTGCCGTACGCCGCCGCGGTCGCCGGCCGCCGTCAGTACAAGGGGCAGGTGAGCCGGGGCGTGGCGACGGCGGAGAGGCGGGTGGCGCGCGGCGCGGTGAGGCCGAAGATGTCGGACATGTCGAGCTCGGACGGCTTCATCCCGTCGGGGAGCGACCAGTTGAAGCCGTGGGCGAGCCGCGCGACGGCGAGCTCGAGCGCGTAGAGCCCCAGCGCCATGCCCGGGCACGAGCGGCGGCCGGAGCCGAAGGGGAGGAACTCGAAGCAGCCGCCCCTGAAGTCGAGCCCCTCGGCGGCGGCGCCGGCGGCGAACCGCGAGGGGCGGAACGCGTCGGCGTCGGGGCCCCAGGCGGCGCGGTCGCGGGCGATGGCCCACACGTTGACCATGACGCGGGAGCCCCTGGGGACGGAGTAGCCGGCGACGAGGCAGTCGGCGGCGGTCTCGTGGAGGAGGATGGGGATGGGCGGGTGGAGGCGGAGCGTCTCCTTGATGACGCAGCGGAGGAAGGGGAGCTTGTCGAGGTCGGACTCGGCGACGTCCCGGCCGAGGCCCACCACGGCGGCGAGCTCCTCCTGCACGCGGCGGAGGTCGTCGGGGCTGTGCATCATCTCCGCCATCGCCCACTCGATCGCCGACGCCACCGTCTCCGTCCCCCCGAACATCACGTCCTGCATGCCACGTCATCACCTTTGCTTATTACTCACACTACTTGTTGTTTACTTATTATTCCCTCCATTTCTAATCAGTGGCAGAGACTAGAAAATTTACGATGCTCGGGTAAATCTAACTACAACAAGTATTTGCTATGAAAATTTTGTTTTCAATTCTATAATATATCAAATTTTACAGTGTGTTCGCTGCGATGATCCCAGGCGGTGGCTCCACCACTGTTTTTAATACTATTTTTGTTTTTAATAGATGACACTATTGAATTTTAGACACGTATTTGATCATCCGTTTTACTTTTAAAGTTTTGTGCAAATGCATAAGTTCCAAATCATGCTTAAAGTACTTTTACTGATAAAATAACTCATAACAAAATAAATGATAATTATTATATATATTATTTAATATAAGATGAATGGTCAAATGTGTGTCTGAAAGTCAACGGCATTACCTATTAAAAAACATAACTAGTATATGGTACTTTTGGAAATACATTTAACTATTTGATTGTTCAATTTATTCAAAAATTTGTGCAAATATAAAAAAGAATTAAATATTATGCTCAAGATACATTTAGTGATAAAATAAATCACAATATCACAAATAATAATTGACTAATTTTTTAAATAAGATAAATGTTCAAGCATGTATCCAACATTCATGACGTCGTACTAAAAAAACCGGAGGGATTAATAAAAGTATAATAATACAATTTTCCATACCAAATTTACTTGTGCCAATCTTACGTATACATAGGTAGGACCACATATTAGGTAGTGGTAGAAAGAAAATTTCACTTTTCCTATCAACAGATTTCATTTTAATATTATCCTTACATGACAAATGTACATCTAAGTTCCAACAGGGCAATATGTTGTCATTTTGTCCTATAAAAACAAGCTGTTGCTTGTGTACATTCAGACAAGAAGTCAGTGCCATGTTGCGTAATGCTTACCAGTAATGATGTTATAAAGTTTTCACTTTTTTAATGTGCAAAGATGAAGAGACAATAAAAACATCATTCATTTTGTTACCGTGAGATGGAAGGAAATGATTTGGTTGGTCTAAAGTATTGAGCGGCCGTTGGGGCCAGATAAATGAAGATTTTACTTTGGAGGGTGACATGCACCAATATGGCCAGAGCCTATCTATATGGACTTACTATCCAGGTTTCACATCATAAGCCATTTAGAGTTTATCTTAAGTCAAACTTTTTAACATTTAGTCAAGTTTATAAAAAAATTAGCAACATTTATAATACAAAATTTGTTTTCATTAAATCTATCATTTACTATATTTTTATATGTTTGCTTTGTTTTAAAAATGCTTTTACGTTTTATCCTATAAACTTAATTAGATTAGAATAATTTTGACTAGCCGAAAACAATTTATAATGTGAAACATAGGGAGTAGGTTAAAAGGGAGATGCGATGATGGTGACATACATAGAAGTTCAATAGGTTGGTTCATGTTTAATTTTTCAATTATTGGAGAAAGGGGTCTTAAAAGTTGAAAATGATGTTGCGTACGTTCCTAGGTGTTATTACGTGATGTATTTCGATCCCAAAAAAAAAACAATGGAGGTACTAAGTGCAAAATGCATTCATGTTAATATGTGCTCTCCAATCGTTAAAACATGGTAATAGACAGATGAATGAATTCACTATTTTCATGGTTTTATAAAATTATCTTAATGCCAAAAAAATCAATGAGAAATTTTAATTTTTTTAAAGAACTAAAATAATAAAAATCCAAATTAACTCTAGCCACAAAAATACACCACACACACCCAACAGTCCAACAAATTACGTATGTCTCCTAACTCATGGTTGCTTCCCTAACAAGTACACTAACATACATGATAGTAATAGTTAGGTAGAAAACCAAGAAAAATAAACAAGACATACTCACAGTTTGCTTCCCTAACAAGTCCGTTAACATACATGACAGTACGTAATAGGTTGACAAGGCAAAAAAAGAAGACGGACGCACACTATAACACACCAGCGAAAGATCAACACAGTAAATATATTGGAGATGAATTTTTATTCCTCGAGAGGATGTTCCATTATTTTTCTTAGGCCACTCAAACAGTTATAAAAAAATTCTTTTTCTATAAAATAAATTAATATGATATATATCACTTCGCACACGAATAATGCTAAGTTTAACTTCCACAAGTTATTAAAAAAACAAATTAAACTATAGCTAGTATACAGACATTCAAAATAATATTTATTATTTTTAATATATTTTAAAAGTTAAATTTAAACTTATATATTTTTAGATTGAAATATTACATAATATTCTTTATTGTCAATTTTTTTTAAAATAATAACAAGGAGATGTCCGTTTAAGTGAAAAAAAATCCCAGATATATTCAACCATATGCAAACCATGGGTGAGGCCGACGACAATAGTATCACAAAGATAACTTAGGATTTGTATGGTTTCAAACCCTAATAAAAATTGCTAGTAGGCATTTTTTTTATTTGGTAGTGCCTGTTTGACACCACTCTATTGATTTGGTATACTTTAGGTCTAATTCAAATAGTTAACATGTAAGTACAATTTATTACAAACGAATTAATTGATAAAGACAAGAATATATAGGTACCAAATCAAAATACCCCTTGAACACACCTACAGCCTACCGGGGTTGTTTTCTTGGCTTTTAAGACGTACGAGTTGTTCGTTCAGTCAAAGAGTCGTCAGATTTGCTAGCCAAGAGTGGTAAGAGACTCGTACACGAGAGAGACGGCTAGCTATAGCTCAGTAGCTTGACACATCATGCATACGCGGAGAATAAGCCTGGAAATGAAATCGATCACCGGCCGCCGGCGCCGGAGAAGACCCGCCGCCGGCCGGCGTTGGTCAGGCTCGTGCTCTGACTTTAATTTGAGCCTCAAGCTAGGTTGGCTGTTGCGCCAAGCGACTGTAAGATTATTCGTGTGTGCAAATATCCAGTCGTTCTACCAGCAAGTCAAAACACTTATTCAGTCTACCACTGAAAATTCCTATATAAGTTCGTTTAAAATATAGGTTTTTTTTTTGAAAAAGGAGATATATATTACACGCTGAAAACATCCACATCTAAAAGATGTGAAATAAAATTAGAGCTGTCATCCTACCAGAACGTGGTTAAAGATTAGCTTCTACCTTTATTCGCTAAAAAAGGCTAACACTATAGTTACTTCTAGCTGTATCCGATATACTACTATATCAAAAAAGAAAAAAAAGAAAAAGAGAGAGACAATTTCTAGCCACGTAACTAGACACGTATATATCCGGGTACTCCCTCTGTGCTTGTAAAGGAAGTCGTTTAGGACTGTTTTTAAGTCAAATCTTAGGAATATAAATCATGAATAACTCTTAAGTTGTTGAGTTTGAAAATGTAAAAATTATATGAATAGATTTGTCTTGAAAAATATTTTCATAAAAGTATACATATATTACTTTTTAATAGATATTTTTATAGAAACAAGAAATCAAAGTTGTATTTTGGAGACCGTATCGTTGTTCAAAACGACTTTACGGAGGAAGTACATGGTAAGGATTGGATATTTTATACAACGGAGGGATAAGTACAAAGCTATTTTTACTACTTCCTCCGAGTACGTGCTACTCCATAAAATTCTCGGAATATTTTACTACCCGTATATTGAAATATGGGTATAAATAATCATAGGTTAATGCCGTATCTGACGGTGTCGATCTCCTCGGGAACAGTCGACAATGCTTATGTAAGTGAGTTGACTGCCTGTAGAAGTGCAGATACATTGCGAGGGATGCATCAAGGAGGACCACTGTATTCTACACTAAAATTAATTACTCCTCAAATCTAGCATTTCATTGAGTGGCTTTAATTTGCAGGGCTTAATCTATGATCCATGATGCATACGTGGCGCCATCTAACGGTTGATCATATCGATTCACCTGCAAACGAGGCGAACACACACATGGACTGCACATGGTGTTCATGTCAACTATACCAGGAGAGATCTCTGCCCTGTCAAATAATCTACACGGATCAAGATAATTTGCCTGACTTAATCGCCTAAAATAAAATGATATATTACCTGACTAATAATCCGGCCCCGTACACTACTGTTGCTGATTTGTACGCGTATTTATAGCGTACAGTTGTGTTTGCGTCAGATGAATTTATCATGTTTAATTGTCAGAGTTTAAGATATATATTACTACTCCATACTGCTGTGCTGTGTAAGAGTAGTTACAATAGCAGGCTATAAGTAAGCCAACTATAAATATATTTTAAAAAGATAAAGCAAGAGAGAAAAGAGCAGCGGGCTACAAAATCTATAGCCAGCTGCAGCACGAACTCTAAGACGTAATGTGTGTATGACAGGTGGGACCAGATATTAATAGTATAGTAAGTAACTATTGTATAAATTAGCTATTATATTTGCTATAGATGATTTAGAGTTAATAGTTGGCTATACTATCAAACTTGCTCTAAATCGGTGAATCATTAATTCCAGTAATTTTACGGATTTGGTGTTGCCTAATTTCGATCGGGTTTTATCTTGATCGGCCGGGAGGAGTAAGTGGTAATTAATCATTACCGTGATAGAGAGATTAAGTTGGTGAAAAATTTGGCAGTAATTAATTACTAGTAGGTTGTCAACTGCACGTACCATGATGATGGCCTTGATGTTGTCGCGGGTGAGGCGGAGCGTGTTCTGCAGGTCGTCGGCCCCGTCGCCGGCGCCGGCGGCGGCGGCGGCGGCCTTGCCGGCGTGCGGCTTGGCCTCGGCGAGGAACGCGAGCATGTCGTCGACCATGTCGGCGTCGGCGTCGTCGGGGTTCTTGCCGCGCTCCATGTGCTCGTCGATGATCTTGTCGATGAACCTGTCGAGCGCGGTGCGCGCCGCGACGAGGCGGGCGTTGATGCCGTTGGTGTCCGCCCAGCTGAGCCAGGGGATGAAGTCGCCGATGTTGAACGCGCCGAACAGCTTGGAGAACTCCTGGAGGATGGCGATGAACTCGTCGTGCCCCTCGCCGTCGCGCGTGCCGAACGCGGCGCGGAAGATGACGTTCTTGGTGAGGTTGAAGATGAGCTCGCCGAGGTTGACGGCGGCCTCGCCGCGCGACGCCGCCACGGCGCGCACGAGCGCCGCGGACTCGTCGCGCACGGCGAGCCACGTCTCGGCGCGGCGCCGGCTGAAGAGCTTCACCACGCACAGCTTCCTCATCTGGCGCCAGAAGGGCCCGTAGTGCGCGAACGCCATGTCCGCGCGGTCGTAGGTGAGGTAGGCGATCGCCGTGGTCGCCGGCCTGTTCGAGAACGCGCCGTCCTGCGCCTGGAGCACCTCGCGCGCGTACTCCGGCGTCGACACGGCGAACGCGTGGAGCCGGCCGAGCCGGAGGTGCATCAGGCCGCCGTACTCCTTCGCCAGCGCTGCCAGGCCGCGGTGCGTCAGCTGGTCCATCATCGCCATGTTGCCGACGATCGGCAGCGGCTTCGGCCCCGGCGGGAACGGCGCCGCGCGCCGCCGCTGCATCCGCATGATTAGGACGGCCACCGTGACGACGATCGCCAGGCTCAGAGGATCCTGAAGCCACTCCATGGTGAACTTCACCATGTCCGCCATGGATGACACACCACACAAACTTAAATTCCTTTCAAAACAAAAATAATATTCTAGAATTTTGGCCCTATTTTGGGTTGTGTTTGAGATGTTTTTTATGTTTATAAGCGCTCTTGGTGTAGAGCTGAGGAGAAAGTTAGGATGATCCAGGGTTTATATAGAGTTGGGAGGAGTAGGTGAGGAATGATATTTTTATATCTGGTTTAAGACTAGTATAGGATCTCAAATTTCCATAGATACATGCATTTTCGTTTTTTTTTCCTCTATATTTTTAGGCAGTGGGTCCCAGTATATCACGAAAAGGTTCTCCTTCAATCATTTTTCATGACACCTATATATCCACATCTCAAAATATAGTAACTTCTGACTAGTATTTAGATAAATATATCCAAATACATCGTTAGAATTTAGTATATTTTTAGATATATGAAGTATCCTATATCATAACTCTTATTATATTTTCGTTACTATTAAAAGTAATATATTTTTATTGACACTTCCATATCTTGCAGCAAATTAGGTTTGCCAATAGCATGGAAATTACGTTAGCACAGCTGAGTAACACAACTGACTGAGCAAGTGGTGGCAATTGGCAAACTGGCAATTAGCCGGCCAAAGTAACAGGGTGAACTTGTCCAACACGAGGTCTGGAATTGTTCATATCAAATAGTAATCAATACTACAGTTGGGCTGAAGATCCATGAATGCTTAGTCTAATCCAAGATGTTGAACAGATACATTTCCTTTTTGTATATTTAGTGCACATGCTTAAACGACCGTACACGATTAGCATTTGGTATTCATCAGTCATCACCATATATTTTTCAGTTTTCTTAAGACTAGCTGTTTACATCACCATATACGGTTAAAGGATGGATCAAGAAAACAAATACAAATGTTCACTTTCAACTTATTTTCATTGTATCCGCCAAATCCATAACTATTCCATTTTGGAAAATTGCATTCAGTTGCTTTCTCAGCACCTTCCATACTAGCTACAATTTTTTTTTGAACTTTTATTTTTTAATTTTAAAAATTAACCTTGCCAAAACTTTTTTTCCAGAATCTGAAACTTTTAGCAACACCCGTCTGTCTTGCGTGGCAAAACAACACTGGCACGTCGCACATAATGGGCATGACAATTTTATTCTGCTACGTCATCGAGGGCGGAGTGGTCAAATAACATTGTCATACCAGCCAGACCGGCGTGACTAAATAATGCTGCCACGTCAGCCAAACCATCGTGACAATGTTGTTTTGCCAAGTCAGTTTGGCTAACGTGACGAAAATGTTCAGATCTTGAAAACAAGTTTTATAAGGGTTTATTTTTAAAATTTAAAAGTTCAAAAAATAAAAAAAAAAACTAGCTACAGAGTTTTTTCTCTTTCTTCTTTTTCTTTAAAGAAATGTATGGATGTGGGCCCGATCACAGCTGATAGATACATTTGTAACCTCCATTTTGGCTTTTAGCCTCTTCCAGAAGTAGAGAAGCTACAATTTCGTTTCGAGAACCTTAAGCTTTCGTTGGCTTTAAGTTGAAGACAAAAACTCAATAGGAAACAAACAAGGCCTAATTAAGGTTCGTTCTTTTTGGATTCTCGGATGAGCTTTATTACTCATTTCTCATAAAGTAAGTACACTTTTTAAAATTGTTAAATGGTACATTTCGTGTAAAAAATTTTATATAAAAATTTCTTAAAATTAAGTATATTTATTTTTAAGTTTATAATAGATAATACTAATTACAAACAATAATACTGCCAGACGGCTGAATCGAACACGACCTAAGCCACAATCACATATTCATGGACCCCATAGATAAACAATTTATTGATAATACAAAGATCATATCTGATTTTGATGGATGTATTCTCGTAAAGAAGAGTGAATATATTGCCATTATATTATTAGTGGCAAGTAGGCTAAGAAATTTGTACAACAAATACTCTATAGTTACGTAACTGCTCTAACTTGGTGATAACATTGTTCATCATTAGCAGAGCAAACTAGGAAAGATTAAGGTGCTGATGCAGGTAGTACCAACTCAACAAGGAATATGTGTTGCCAATATGACATTAGTACAAAAAACTAAAGGACTATACAATTGTAACAAGTTCTGCGACAACACACTAGTACTATATTTACAAATGGACTATCCAGTTGTAATATATAACTAGTTCACCCTAAAAGGAAGAAAATTGTTTAAATATGTGCTTGGATTTGAACTATATATTTTTGTACCCTCTACCAAAAAACTTTCAGGTTAAAACTACCCCCCAATGCTTTTCAGTTTCCAAAGCCATCATGGTGGTTCACCGATAAACTAAAGCAGTTTGCAGCATCTTCAAGTATATCCAAAACTGAAAAGTGCACCAAACCTGAAATTTACTAATCACTGGCCGGCTAACCATGAGGTTGAAACTTTGTTATGTGTTCAATCAGTTACGAGATGCCGACGCTGTTAGCCTCTTGCCAGAGAGATCTTCCTTAATTTAGAGAAACTTTGGTTCTTCACTCTCGAAGTATCTTCTATCTTGAAAGGAAATTCTGAAAATATATATCATTGTCCTCCAGAATATTTGAGAAAATGCTAATTGGGTTTTTTTCCTTTTCTTTATTTACATTTTTTGAATTATCCAGTCATCTTTAGTTACTTTGTTTATATACAATTACCAATGTCAAATTCAGCAGTTATCATTATAAATGGTATTTTCTCTGGCCATTGTTTTCTTCCGAAAACATCATTCATTCATATTGTTTTTCCTGTATAGGAGTAGTTAGGCTGTAGCTACGTAGATGCTGTACAATTTCTTTGCTGGCACTGTAGCTGTAGCTGTCGTGCAGCCACTAGTTATCATCGTGCCATTTTAGGTAATAAAAATATTTTACATCTCCAAAGTCCAAACTCTGCCGTAAGCATAGGAAACAAGTTTTTAATGTAACAAAAACACAATAGGTGGCAAGACAAACCCCAATTACCCTTCAAAAGGGAAATAAACTGATAAGCTAAAAAGAGAACAAGGATTCTAACAAGTTGGCCAATATGTACTGTGCCACCTATTGTGAAAAAAGAGATCTCGTTGGCTACCAATTCTAAAAATGTAACATTGCTGTGCATAGTATTTTACTCCTACTATGGTAACATCGCATATTAATATTTTATTTTGAGCTAGATTTTTTTATTTTGGTAACCCCAGATTGATTAGCATAATGCATTAGTATCAAATTAAATCAGTTTTTCATGTGTCTAGGTACTCCCTGAACCAATTAAAAAAAAATTTGGCGTCTTGGATAGGGGGATAGTGAAAGCAAGGAAAACATATAGCCAGGCAAAACGAGCGATACGATAATAAAAAAACAAATGTTGAATTGTCTCTTACTCGTTGCGAGAATATCATTGCATGTCCCTCCTCAATTCCTTTTAGCAAGATTATTTTTTATTAGGATCACTTTTATTTAAGAAAAAACACATGAAAACTTTGTTGAGTGGAACTTTTAACTCCTATAGGATTCTTTATAGTTCATTATCGCTGTGCACATAGGACATACAAAAAATAGTATACCGCTTCTATATAAGTAATATACAAAGTAATCATTTCCATTTTGTAGAGTAACTATAGGTAGTTGTTGGACTTAATAATTCCAATCAGATAATTTAATTAGGTCCCAAAATTCAGACGATATATATATACATATAAATTGAGAATGATTTAACTATAGCCTGTTTGGGGGAGCTTTTAGCAGCTGCAGCTTTTTTTATAATCTCCAGTTGCTAGAAGTTCTCCCAATCAGTTCAGCATTTTTTATGAACTAGAAGCCAGAAGCTGGGTTTCCAGCTTCTCCAGATTCTCACCAGCTAGCTTCTCAATAGCTGCTTCTTAGAATCTTAAAATCCCCCAAGCAGGCCCTAAGTCTCTCTGCAACTAAAATAACTCTATTTATTCTTCATGGAAGACTACTGTACACCATCTATCTATTATATACTAAAAGTCTATTAAACTTCCTACAAACGCTCTTAAGCCGCCATGTGCCATCCTACAAACGCTCATAAGCCACTATGTGGCGCTCTAATAAATTATGGAAACTATAAGAAAAAACAAAAATATCTGACCGTCGATTTTCATTTAAAACGGTGGACCCAGTGATTTTAACCATCAGATCAAAATAAAATCTCTCCTCACCCTTCTCTCCTGGGCCCACACGTGCACTTTCCCGACTTCTGTACGTACGCATCCTCCCCTCATTTTCTCTTTTTTTTTCTTTTTTCTAATTAAGGTAGTTATTATTACGAGATACACACCATAACGTATTATTGTAAATGGTTATATCTCTTCTTGCATGGAGCAACAAGCTGGCTGTGCAACTTGCAAGCAGTAATTTTTTTTATGGACGATATATACTTTTATGATATACGCTTGAATGGTTGTATTTTTTATTTAAATTAATCAACAAGCTAAGTCCTATATTCACTATATTTACTATGTTTTTATATAGAAATAGACATGTGATGGGTATCTAATGGATAAAAAAATTTTAGCCGTTTGAGATATAACTATGGGATATGAGTTCCTCTGTTACATGCATGGTTGGTGGCGGATCGTTACATAGTATAAATGATTGTATATAAACAATAGATAGCTAAATGATTATATTTTTTTAATATATTTATTTTTAGTTTGATCCATTTAGGCCTTTCTTGATATCTGATAAATATATTATTAGGCATAAACTCATATCCTTTCCGTGACAACTAAACAGCACTGAAAAGAAAAGTTGTATAAAAATTGATAACATATATCATATCATCATCTATTAGATGTCCATTACAACATCTCTATGTCTACACATTTCACATATAATAAATTACAAAAAAAAACTTAAAAATTTTGAGAAAAAAAAAGCATATGACCATGAGTTTTATTTAAATCGATGGACCCTTCCCTCTCCGAAAAGCTCATTGCTCTCCTCTCCTCTTCCCCTTCCTATTATCTAGCTAAAGTCTATTAAACTTCCTACAAACGCTTCTAAGTTGCCACATGACACTCTAACAAATTAGAGAAATCGAAGAAATTACAAGAAAAAAGCAAAACATCTAGCCCTCGATTTTCACTTAATACGGTGGACCCAATATTCTACATTATTAGAAAAATCCCA